TATTTTGTGCTATCATCGATGAATGTGATGAAATATTTGTTCCCACCTCTAGTAGGAATCGATTTTAAATCACACACATCAGTGTGAATYAAATCAAGAGGTTCGGTTTTTCTTTCAACCGTTTGGAAAGATGTTCTAGTTAGTTTGGCTTCAACACATGTGGGGCATTTGTGATTTGAGTCAATGTCAAATTTTGGTATGTAGTTTAAGTTAACTAAACGACGAATAAAATTATAATTTACATGTCCTAAACGACCATGCCAAATATTAGAAAACTCAAGCATATAAGCAGAACTTGTACTTGCTCCATTTATTTTATTATTAACCATTACAAACATTTTAAACATCCCATTCAAGGCATAGCCTTTACCAACATACATACCATTTTTGGACAAAACAAACTTATCTGACTCAAACACAAGCTTAAAACCAAACTTATTCAACAACCAACTCGACACAAGGTTCTTACGCAGCGCCAGAACATACAAAACATCCTTCAGCTTCAACTCTTTCCCCGATGTCATTTTTAGAACAACATCTCCAACGCCCTTGATATCTGCGGTGGCGGCATTCCCCATGAATAGTTTTTGACCATTATCAACATCCTTGTAAGTGTTGAAGTTGCTTTTGTCATGACACACATGACGAGTAGCTTTGGTATCAACCCACCATTGTTTTGAATTCGTATCCAACAGATTCGCCTCCGAAATCATAGCCGCGAGATCCGTAATCATGGCCACCAAATCATCATCATCATTCATCATGTTCGCTTGACGATTACCATCCCGTTTCGGTTGCTTGCACTCAGAAGCTTTGTGACCCGATTGGCCACAGTTATAGCACWTGAACGTCTTCTTTTTAAAGGTTCTAGCTTTTGGCCCAAGGTTCTTGGCTTTTGCTTTCCCTTTGTCGGCTCCCTTGTTCTTGTTTTTGGATGATTGACCAACTTCCACCACATTGGCTTTGGTAGAATTGGCACCATAACCATTCTTCAAAGCCACTCTATTGTCTTCTTCAATACGAAGAYGCACCACAAGATCCTCCACTGACATCTCCTTTCGCTTMTGCTTAAGGTAGTTTTTGAAGTCTATCCAACCGGGAGGTAGCTTCTCAATCATCGCTGCAACTTGGAATGTCTCACTAAGAACCATCCATTCGGCAAKAACATCATGCACAATAACTTGAAGATCTTGAACTTGACTCATCACAGTTTTCGAATCAACCATTTTGAAATCCAAGAATTTGGCAACGACATGCTTCTTAGTTCCCGCATCTTCGGTCTTGTACTTACGTTCCAAAGATTCCCATAGTTCCTTAGCCGTGTCAACTTTACAGTAAACATTGTAGAGAGGATCGACAAGGCCGTTCAACACATAGTTTCGGCACAGAAATTCAGAGTGTTTCCACGCTTGAACCGYGCTCACAGATTGAGCATCGRCTTCTCCCTCAGCAACTTGGGGAGCAGATTCTGTAAGGAACCGAGCCAAGTTCAAAGTGGTCAAGTAGAAGAACATCTTCTGCTGCCACCTCTTAAAGTTTAGACCAGAAAAMTTCTCTGGTTTTTCAGCGTGATTAGCCATCGTGTTTGGCACAGGCGCTGCAACAGTGTTTGGCACAGGTGCTGTGGCAGTTGGTTTGACAACAGGATCAACCATTCTGGAAAAGTCGCCGGAAAGAAACCGTTAGAACCAAATATAAAATTTGTTTACAGAAAAAAAAAACAAGTTCTGTTTACGGAAAACGGTTTCTGTTTACGGAAAACGGTTTCTGTTTACGAAAAACGGTTTCTGTTTACGAAAAACGGTTTCTGTTTACGAAAAACAGTTTCTGTTACAATCTTAAACAGACTCGATTTTTTTTATGTTCCTAGTTTCTTCTGTTTTCCCGTAAACAGAACCTGTTTTACGTAAACAGAAACCGTTTTTCGTAAACAGAAACCGTTTTTCGTAAACAGAAACCGTTTTNCGTAAACAGAAACCGTTTTTCGTAAACAGAAACCGTTTTTCGTAAACAGAAACCGTTTTCCGTAAACAGAAACAGTTTTCCGTAAACAGAACTTGTTTTTTTTTGTAAACAGATTTTATATTTGGTTCTAACGGTTTCTTTCCGACGACTTTTCCAGAATGGTTGATCCTGTTGTCAAACCAACTGCCACAGCACCTGTGCCAAACACTGTTGCAGCGCCTGTGCCAAACACGATGGCTAATCACGCTGAAAAACCAGAGAAKTTTTCTGGTCTAAACTTTAAGAGGTGGCAGCAGAAGATGTTCTTCTACTTGACCACTTTGAACTTGGCTCGGTTCCTTACAGAATCTGCTCCCCAAGTTGCTGAGGGAGAAGYCGATGCTCAATCTGTGAGCRCGGTTCAAGCGTGGAAACACTCTGAATTTCTGTGCCGAAACTATGTGTTGAACGGCCTWGTCGATCCTCTCTACAATGTTTACTGTAAAGTTGACACGACTAAGGAACTATGGGAATCTTTGGAACGTAAGTACAAGACAGAAGATGCGGGAACCAAGAAGCATGACGTTGCCAAATTCTTGGATTTCAAAATGGTTGATTCGAAAACTGTGATGAGTCAAGTTCAAGATCTTCAAGTTATTGTGCATGATGTTCTTGCCGAATGGATGGTTCTTAGTGAGACATTCCAAGTTGCAGCGATGATTGAGAAGCTACCTCCCGGTTGGATAGACTTCAAAAACTACCTTAAGCAGAAGCGAAAGGAGATGTCAGTGGAGGATCTTGTGGTGCRTCTTCGTATTGAAGAAGACAATAGAGTGGCTTTGAAGAATGGTTATGGTGCCAATTCTACCAAAGCCAATGTGGTGGAAGTTGGTCAATCATCCAAAAACAAGAACAAGGGAGCCGACAAAGGGAAAGCAAAAGCCAAGAACCTTGGGCCAAAAGCTAGAACCTTTAAAAAGAAGACGTTCAWGTGCTATAACTGTGGCCAATCGGGTCACAAAGCTTCTGAGTGCAAGCAACCGAAACGGGATGGTAATCGTCAAGCGAACATGATGAATGATGATGATGATTTGGTGGCCATGATTACGGATCTCGCGGCTATGATTTCGGAGGCGAATCTGTTTAAGATTGTTAGTAATCGAATATCTTTAAATAAAGCAGAAACTGGTTCTTGAAAGAGAAGAAGACCGAAAGAAAAAACAAGATTATAGATGAAGGAGAAAAGCTGAGGCTCGTGTTTGACACGATTCCCTTAAACAGATTCGGGTCTGTTCCCAGGGTACAACAGCCGGAGCATGAGTACTGCCGGAGTTGGCCGACTTGCCTGGAAAAGTCGCCGGAAAGAGGTCTGCAGATGGAAGAGGAGCGTGTGAGTGAAGTTCTATCGATCTGTGTATCTCTTCAAACCGAGAATACAACTGTATTTATATACAGAAAAACGTAACAACATTTTAATGGTAATTAATATATTAAATGCGCCATTAAAACGATTCAGTTACTAAAACTGAAATAAAGTTTGAAAATTAAACAGACCAGATAAATTTCAGCAAAAACCGGGTTGCGCGAGCTCGTGATTTCGGAGCTGCATTCGTGTCCGCATGTCGTGCCCACACATGAGTTCGGCGGATTTAGCCTACGAAATCCACAATCCGCACCCCCTCTGCGCGCGCATAGGTGTTGGAGCATAACATTTCATAATTGCTTGAAAGCCTTTGTGAAGTCTATGGTTATAAACCATGAAAACTTCTATCATCCCACCTATGTGGGACACCTCCCACACCCATTTGGTTTTTGCTAAATCCATCCCAAGTACCCAACTTTGAGCCTCGATATCTCATTCACACATACTCGGTTTTGGACACATTATATATGGTTTCGAAGCTCTCATAGCAAAGAACGTAAACCCACTAAGAGTCAGTTAAAATTAAACCATATACATGTAGTTAAATGTGCCCAAAGTTAGTAAAAAAATCACATTTTTCTACTAAATTTTCCAACAAGGGTTTGATGTTATTGTAGGATAATTATCCCACATGACTTCAATAATTCAATTGTAAATAGGTTGTTTTCTAGATGGGTAATTATATGAAGACTAATTCATCAAATACATTACTCAAAGGCATGAGGTTTTTGGAAATTTTTCGGAGGTGGCTTCAAAAAGAAAATAAGATGACACTCTTTCGGTAAGTTACGGGACAAATAATCACCCTATTTTACTCTTGCCTTTTGACGTAGTTTATGTATTTCAGTATTTGTATAAAAAAGGTGCACTTACATTAACAATTTCCTCAACAACATCAAAGTATAGGCCTGCCTTGGATGATCCACCGGTGAAAAGCACTCCATTAACCAGATTGAGTTTCTATGAGACAATTGCACAAGTTACTTAAGAAACATTTCAGGAATATAATGTGCATGCCCAAATTCAACAATACTATTTCAAACATAACACGAAAAAAAACCTTCATACAAAGAAATTCTTATGCATAGGCAGACAGCAACTCAAATGCATGATCTGCCAGTATCAAGCGAATACAATGACTGCCTCTACTCTAAAATTATGAAAATATATTTGGGATTTAGGTAAAAAAAATTGATCACACATCAGTTGACCTTATCATGAGTGCAAAAACACAAATAGAGGAATAGATACCAAAACTATAACATGGACCCCCAAAGTCGCCACATATATTTTTATCATCTTCGTCTTAAAAACACAAATAGGTGCAGCTAGTGCCTCCTGAAAGATCCAATTAAAATTTGGCTATCATATTCAGAAGGATAAAACAAAAATCTCCAGTCAAAGACAAAAAGTCAGGTTTTAGATCAGATTGAGAAAGATAAACAAGATAGGGCAGCTTATGACCATCACAAATGATTTTTCAAACAACCAATTCAAGATCAACAATCTTCAGTCATCAGAGTTGAAAGTAGAGAGCATCTATGGCAGAGGTTTACTGGATTAAAATGACTACCTATTCATATGGCCTTTGTACTTCATGTAAAGATCAATCAAATCAGTTYTCTCTGACTYRGATCCTCTGTAATTGGCTTTAAACTCTTCAATATAAGCTTTTGTACCTACACAAGCATTTGTGTTGTTCACCTTATAACAGGAAATATATCAAGTTATTTACATATGTTTCTGGGAGTTTTATACAAGAAACAGACCTTTTTGTACATAGTCCGGGAGAAGTCCTTCAAATTTTGAACCACATCCCCAGCAAGATCTTGTTAGTGAAAAAAACAATGAGTGCAACATGATGATTGAGAAAGCTCCAAATAATATCATATGATATAACATCAGCTATAATCTAAAAAGGGTTCATCACGTATATCACTGATAAAGAGGATTTAAGGTTTTGATGTCAACTTCATGGTATTTCTGGTATGAGAAGTCCTTTTGTGCATAATTACCTAGGTATAATAGCGATTGACTAAATTTATGGCACTTGCTCATAAATATACCTGTAAATCATTTTTCTCAAAAAAATAACGAATGAGGATTTGCTCTAGATTTTTCCTTCAAATCTTGATTCTTGAGTGTGTATTTTGGAGTATATCAGTGTGAAGTTTGTGATACCCAAAGGCTGCAATAGGTTTGAAATATTACCTACGGAGTGACTCCTTTCACGATCCAATATATTATCCAAGTTCTTTCATCGATATCACCCTACAAATCCCAAATTCTAACAAGAAATACAAAATACAAGGAAAACCAGAGGCAGTATCAGAACTACAAGTGATATTACCACAAAAAAGAAAGGCCTAATCAGTTACTACAATTGCATTCAATTACAAATGTTCTATTTTTAGTTTTGCCAGTTTGAGTTGCTAACTCATCATTATCAGAAAACCCTAAAGAAAATGACAATGACGTCCATGAAAGTTGATCAGGATGGACCCAATCTTGACTCCATCAAATAAAAGATAATAAAAGATAACAAATAAAGAGTCCTCTTTCTGGGTTCATGAGCTTTTGCCCAATCTTAACTCCATAAACCCTAATGGRTATKTGAAAATTTTGATTTCTGAGTTGTACATGAATGGTAAAAACAAACCAAATAATTACCTGGAGATGGATTGAACGTTGAAGAAGACGATGGAAGACAGRTCAGATTTCGAAGAACCTACAAAAAGATTCGAGAACACAGGTCAGATTTCGAAGAAGATTCGAGAACACCCTAAGCTAACAGAACCCTAAACGTTTACCTAGAAGATTGTAGAAGACGATGGAAGCACGATCGAATTTGTTTTAGGGATGGCGATAAAATGGGATTGGGTTTAGATCAGGGATGCGATAAAATGGGAATGGGTTTAGGGATGGTTGGCGATAAGATGGGATTGGGATCAGATATGGGATGAAATCGGATAGAGATAAATGGGTTTAAGAGTTTTTAAGAGTTTTAGCCAAATGCTTTATAATATAGTATATATATATATATATATATATATATATATATAAAATTCATAATTCAAAAATGTTGAACTGTGATTAATTGTGACTATCTCATTTTGATAAAAAGATGATATGTTGGAACACTATGGTAATTATATAAGAAGGATGATGCCAACTTTTTTACATGATTTTTGATTTACGGTTACAAATTTCTTCATGTTGAATGTGTAATACATTTTGTTAGGGTTGTTTACCAAACGCTTACTCGGGTAATTGAACATCAAGTCACATTACCTTACCGAATGAATATGGTAAAAACCAAAAATTTTACCCGGTAAAAACAAGACAATGACCAAGAGTCTTACTCGGTAAATGAGATGGCGACGACTCTTACCACGGTAAGCGCTTACCGGGTAAATTGTTGCATATGTTACCATTTTGGTGGACTAAAATCTTACCCGGTAAATATATGATAGTGTTAACTTTTACCGTTAAGCACTTAACGGGTAAGTGTTTAGTAAACGTCCCTTTACACAACCTTTATCATTATATTTATAGTTTATATATATATATATATATATATATATATAAGCAAGAAAAAACAATGATGTGGCATCTTAATAAATGAATATTCGTCATTTCTTGAATTGTAGTTGAACTTTGTCTATCTAACATTGATGAAGAGATAAAAGATTAAACAACAGATGACGGTATATGGATGAAGGTTGAAATGTCTTTCCTCTTGGTTGATCCTCTAAACTCACATCGTTGGTCCATTTTAACCGACCTTCCAAACCTTTAAATCTTTATATCTATATAATCTATAAGTAAGAACCAAAAGACATGAAGAAACGAGAGAGGAGAGAGAAAACAAGAGAGAGAGAGAGAGAAAAATATTTTTGAAATATGACTTTCCTAAAAATGATTTAACATTTAATTAATAAATAACATTAATTATCTTAAATTTGTGGTTTAAAATGAATCTCATGGATATCACAAATTCTGAAATTATTAAATGATTAAACCCAATAACCCATATACAAATTTTGGATTTGTATAACCAAGTATGAATTTTAGAAAACTAGTTGTGTACTCGCGCAATGCGGGCGGGAGCCGTTAATTTTAACGATTTTGAAGTTTCACTGGTTTTATTAGATAAGGTTTAATGATGATATAAGTTACACTTGGTCTTTACATATTAATAAAATTTGAATAAATAAGAGTTATGGTTTCAATTGTGGTCTATCGATCAAAAAAATTGTATGATAGTTTAAAATCCAATATATTTAAAATCCAACATATTTAAACGACTCCACAAATGTGTTCGATGTACACCAAGAGCAAAGAATCAAGAGATCGAGAGCGAGACCGAGAGTTTCAGAGCAATTGAATGTGAGATGAATAAGAGAACTTTTAATAACTCATGGTGAATATCAGTTTGAATCTCACATTGGGGGATGAGGAGAAGACATAGAGGTATAAGAGAATGAAGACATGAATGAAAGATATCAAAAATATCTTGAGAACATTAAAAGAAAAAGTAATAATGTGCATTAGTAACTTGTACTATATGTTATTTTAATTGTAGATTAAGAGATTTTTAAATTGAATGCATAAAGTAGTAGTACTTAATGCATTATGAGTTATTTTTAAGACTTTGTGCATAAATGTATAGTATTTTGTGCATTAAAAATTATTTTTAAGACTTTTGATAAATCTGATTTATAAGGTAGTATAGATATCTACCTTAAACGATGATTTTAAATAACAATTACAAATAATATGAATAAAAAAACTGGTCAACCTTACATATCTCAATTAATTAATAATCTCACTAATTAACTTTTAAGCATTGTACAAAAAAATATAACTTTAACTTTTTACGTGATATACAAAATTATATTTGCTCTTAAACGACTAAATATATTTAACAATGATAAAAGTAATAATATAAAAATAATTGATAAAATTGATAGTAATTCTAAATAATTAATATTAATAGATAGTTTATAATTAAAATTAATTAACAGTTTGAAATTAATAATAAATAACAATTAGTATTAATCAGGGGTATAATTGGAAGAAAGAACAAAAAGTCCTAAAACTTATAGAAATGCTATCCCGAAAGGTGTTTCAATAAGTTAGCTTATAAGCTACTTTTTTTCCCATCAAAACGGGGGCTTCTACAATAAGCTCAAAAAACAAGCTAACATATAAGCTACTTTTTTGTCTATCCAAACATAGCTTATGCAATAAGTCAAAAAATAAGCTAGCTTATATTTGTCAAACATGAACAATGTTTCAAATACAACCCATGTAAACGTTGTAAACCATTCACGTCAATCTAATTTATTCATCTAGCCTAATGAATATTTGGTTTTATAAACATTTCGTTTGTTTTCTAAGTTAAATATCTCAATCATAATGATCAACATCCGTATTTTTTATACAATAAAAATACTTTAACGATTGGGTTTTGATATTTATTTTTTGGGGAAATTAATATTCGGTTGCGTTATTTGGTCCATAACGTGTTTTGGGTTGGTAATAGATCAAAGTCGGGTGAATTGGGGACCCCCTGGAGTCCATACGACTTCTTGGGTGGCCTAAGCCACAGGAAAGGTCGCCCAACCTTCTGTTGGAAATTGCCCTCACGATGTTTCGATGTTCCCCTTTAGTAGGGGTGCAATGTATAGAAAGGTTGAGTTTGGGGTGTTGTTCATCGTGAAAATCGACGTTGCAATTTTGGCTAGAAGGGAATAGTTGCCTTTTTGAGGTCATGTTAGAGACACTCCCTTAGAGCATGAGTCAATTCATTTGGGAATTTGCGATTATGTGAAGTTTACGTCCTTGGGACATTATCATTTTGAAAATGGGTGGATGATGAGTCATTGGTTGGACAGTGCCTCAAATTGTGTGACGTCCTTGAATCGTCTCAGATGCCTTATATGGTTCGAGTATTTCGTGTAAGAGGAAATTGTATGATATCGGTGTTCGAGAGAACTCTTGGGTCGAAATTGATTGTTTTGGGGAAGGATCGAATGATTGGGAATCGAGTCAATTCTTCGAGTGTGTATCAATGTAGATTTCGAGGACAAAATCTCTTCTAAGGTTGGGAAGGTTGTCACCTGTAATTTATTAAATGTAATGTTGGGAAATTATTGTTAAATTCGGTATTCAACTTTGGAAAAATAATATTGAGATGTGTTTAATTTATCTCGGGTTGGTTGAGGTCGAATCGAGATTCAAAAAGGGTGAAACCTGGACCACCTAAGTCGCAGGAAAAGTCGCCCAAGCACTGGAGTGTGGCATGGGCCGAGGATCTCGATGGTTTTGGAATCAGTGGTTGAGGCAGCCTGTGGGATGACTTAAGCCGCATGGAAAAGGTGCCTAAGTGGGCTATGTATGTATGCGTCGTGCAACCTTTCAAGGGCTTGGGCGAGTTGGTCAGGCAACCTAGGGCAGGTCAAAAGCTGCACCTGTGCACAAGTCTTCTTAATTGATGCTTATAATTGAGTTTTTTTGTAACACTTGAAATTTTCTGAGAACGGTAGGGAAAACGGTCAGAGGACAGTCGGAAAAACGATGGGACAACTGTTAGAAAACGGTCATAGAACGACATGATGTGGACGCTTACAACACACTGTGTGTCCTATTAAAATGTGTTATCCTAGAGGAAGTTCCATTGAGAACTCGTTTTTCTTTGAGAACTTGAGAACCACCTACAACGCGCTACATGTGCTTTATCTGAATAAATATTGATGATGAATAATACATTCATGATAAATATCGACATATCGTTTATATATCTATCCACGGTCCATAGGTTTTTTTTATATGAAAATTAGATTTTAAAGAGAACTTAGATATTTATAAAAACAACTTTTTAAAATGAAAAAAAACCAAAGTTTCCTTTAATGGGATTTGGCTTTTTGTTATCGCTCTAGGTCATTTTCCTTCGCACCACACAGGCCATGGCGATCTGATTCCTTGCTAGAAAAAGGAACTGGAAATACGATCAAGGTTTTCTCAGGAAGCATCCGTTCCATTGAGGTGAGAGGTGAAGCCAATCAGTATTCATACCGTCTGTTGTCCACTCTTTTGCTTGTGTGCAGCAATGTCTAATAACCCTCAGAATTCCGGTGCACAGGTAATAAATACATACACACTTGCTTTTTAGCATCATGTCTACTTGATTCCAACTCAGTCCCTTTTTTGTCCTTTTAAATTCGAACAAATCTGTAATGGGAGCTTGTAGTGTTTCGAACTTT